AGGGATGGGATAACGTGAGAAATGAGGATGGGATAAGGAATAAAGTAGGGATGGGTCAGTGTGCAAATAGGGATGGGATAAGGGAGATAATAGGAACAGGGTCAATGTGAAAATAGAGATGGGATAAGGGAGATAATAGGAACAGAGTCAGTGTGAAAATAGGGATGGGATAAGGGAGACAGTGGGTATGGGATAAGGGAGAGTAGGAACGGGGTCATTTTGAAAATAGGGATGGGATAAGGGAGATGTGGGTATAAGATAAGGGAGATGTAGGAACAGGGTCAGTGTGAAAATAGGTATGGGATGAGGGAGATGTGGGTATTAGATAAGGGAGATGTAGGAACAGGGTCAGTGTGAAAATGGGAATGGGATAAGGGAGAGAGTGGGTATAGGATAAGGGGAAGGAGTGGGTAGAAGATAAGGAAGAGAATGGGTATAGGATAAGGGAGAGAGTGGGTATATGATAAGAGAGAGAGTAGGTCGAGGATAAGGGAGAGAGTGGGTATAGGATAAGGGAGAGAGTGGGTATAGGATAAAGGAGAGAGTGGGTATAGGATAAGGGAGAGAGTGGGTATAGGATAAGGGAGAGAGTAGGTATAGGATAAGGGAGAGTGGGTATAGGATAAGGGAGAGAGTAGGTATAGGATAAGGCAGAAAGTAGGTACAGGATAAGGGAGAGAGTGGGTATAGAATAAGAGAGAGAGAGTAGGTATAGGATAGAAGAAAAAGGGTATAGGATAAGGGAGAGAGTGGGTATAGGATAAGGGAGAGAGTAGGTATAGGATAAGGCAGAAAGTAGGTATAGGATAAGGGAGAGAGTGGGTATAGGATAAGGGAGAGAGTAGGTATAGCATAAGGGAGAGTAGGTATAGGATAAGGGAGAGAGTGGGTATAGGATAAGGCAGAAAGTAGGTATAGGATAAGGGAGAGAGTAGGTATAGGATAAGGGAGAGAGTAGGTATAGGATAAGGCAGAAAGTAGGTATAGGATAAGGGAGAGAGTGGGTATAGGATAAAGGAGAGAGTAGGTATAGGATAAGGGAGAGA